ATTTAATAAAAAAAAAATATTAAAAGCACAGGTCAGGCTTCACTATGTAATACTGCCTCTCTTTTTCAGTCTGTGATTTTGTGTTACATAAATACTTGGAGGTGTTTTCCAGTCTTCTTCACAGATAATTCTCAAACTCTAAATTTACTTTTGCTACTCAGCTGTCTCATGTATAATCACTCTTCACTTTCTGCCTTACCTTGTCACTTGTGGGAGAAACTAAAAGCTGGATCAGTTAGGAAAAAAATCCTGATACCAGATGTCTGTCTAAAAAAATCTAAGTATTTTCTGGTCAAGCTTAAATCTGTCTCTACATAATAAAGCAAAATATAATTAGGCTAAAAAAATAACTTCATAAAAGATCAAGCAACAACCACACAAAAAACAGTACACGCTTCGTCTATCTTCTAAATTTAATTCATCCATATTAAGCACTACGAGAAGTGAAGTGCCTACTTGTGCTAGTTACCTACTAATGCAGATGTTTCCAGCAGCATTTGCTTTATTCTCCTGTAATCCCCTGCCAGCAACTTCCCTAGATACATCAAGCTTCTAGTAGCAATCTGTTCATGGTATTTAATCTTTCATTAACACATAACTTACAATACTTCCAAGATCTCACCAATTACCAGTTTCAAAGCCACTTTGATAACTTTAAAACATTTTGAATGTCAGCATCCCACTCCAGGGATCAAAATCTGTATGTGTTAGTACTTCTGGATAAGTAACAACCCAAAACATCAGGGTGAAAAGAATAAGCAAATATTGTCATGGGGCACAGTGTGGATGAACCTGAAGGATGTTATGCTAAGGGAAATTAGACAGAGAAAATGAACACTGCATGATCTCACTTATATGTGGAATTAAAATGAAATCCAGTATACACAAAAAGAGTGGGCCCTAGGGGAAAGGGGTTGGAGAAAATTGGGAAATGCTGGTCAAAGAGACAAACTTTCAGGTATACGTTTAATAAGTTCTGGAGACTTAATATAATAATAGGTTGCATATTTGATATTTGCAAGGGGAGTGAATTTTAAGTATTCTCACCATAAATAAAAGATAACAATCTGATGTAGTACATTAAGTAGCTTGCTTGTGGCAGTAACTTCACAATGAACTACATATACGTTTGAAACAATTTCCAGTCTATTCTGAAAAGATAAAATTTTTATTTATCAAGTAATCTAAATACAGTTTAAGAAAACAATCACTATTTCTGTCTCATAGGTTCTGTGACTCAAGAATTCACTAGGCAAAAAAAAAAACTGCATGCTTATATCTGGTAATCTGAACTAATTTGAAGACAACAATATGCAATATAACAATCATTGCTGAATTCTTATCATTTTGTTGAAATTCTGTATTGTTTCTAATGTTTTATTTTTTAATATTTCTTACTCTCTGTAAAAATTAAAAAAAGAATTCATTAGGCACTTAGTTGAAGGTTTTTTTGTTTTATTGGTTTTTTTTGTTTTTTTGTTTTTTTGTTTTTGCAGAACCAGGGACTGAACTCGGGCCCTTGCGCTTGCCAGGGAAGTGCTTATTCTACTGAGCCATCTCCCTGGCCCTTTAGTTGAAGATTTTGAGTTGAAGGTCTCTCATTAAGTCATGGTCAAGAGGACATTGGGGGGCCAGCCATCTGAAGACTGGATTAAGGCAGCAGGACCTGCTTCCAAGACGGCACACTGAAACTAGACTTCTTGTTCACTGAAGACCTCAGTTTTTCTGCATGCGCTTAAAGCTCTCTCCACAAGCTGCTTGAAGTAACTTCAAAATACATTATTTAACTATATTCATAGTATGCCCCTGGATGAAGCCACAATGTCTTCTATAACCAAGCTTCAGAAATCATTTCTTCGAAACCCTATCAATTACATAGGTCAACCTTATTCAGTAGGTAAATACTATACAAGAGCATGAATGGTAGGAAGCTGGCTAGCTACCATTCTACCTTATAGAGATTCAAAAGATTTAAAGAATCTGTAAAACATTCAAAATGATACTCAGTTTAAGGAAATGCTAGCCAACTATCTGCTATTCCTATTTACCTAAATCTGGAAAGGAACGAACGTTTATAAAGAAGTCTTATAAAGTCTCCTATGCCCTATTTCTCTCATAGGTTAAGGTTAAGATGAACAGGTAAATAAAAAAGACATTCTAAATTATCTTCCAGTTCTAGATTTATACTTTTCTATTATAATTTTACTTAATGAGATAGAATTTCCTGAAGTGGAGCTAGAGGAAATAAGTCTTTTTTCTATGGACAAGTATGCCTTTTCTCAGAGAGAGCTACTAGAGAGTGATTTTAAGAGTTGTCCACTGTTTCTAGAAAAGCAATGCTATCCTTCATGTTCACATCATAATGAACTTCAAAGTGAAGTCAATATTCCAAAATAATGTGGATAAAGTGATAAATAAGCCAAGCATTGACGAGATTCTACGAGCTAGAGATGATACAGCAGAGTTTGTTAAACATAGCAATATAGAAAAGTGATTTGTCATCCAAACATTGAAATATCAAGAAATAATTTTGATTCCTATCTAGTAAATATTTGGGGCAACAGCTTTTAATTATGTATTATACATTGTTTCCCAAAAATCAATAAAGAGTACAAGGAAAATCAACTACCATCCAATAAAGTATGGAAGTACATTCTTGTAGATAATAACCCTCTTTATTTTTACAACTGTGAAATCAAATAGGACATAAATAGCCATCCCTAAACTGAAAATGAAGAATCCGAATAAGAGAAATTAAGGGATTTTCCCTAGGTTACAAATCTGAATGACAAAGACAAATTTCTCCAGTATAAACACATGAATTTACAGAGGCCATACTGTCTATACTAACACAATAGAAACGGACAATTTTTATCAATATCCTAGGTTAGGGGTGCCGACTTACAGCACACATGCCACAGTGGACTGTTTGTTACCACTGAAAGCTCAAAAAGGTTTGCCATCACTGCCCTAGGTAATGAACTCACCTATATGTTTTCCAGACTCTCAAGGGGTATGTAATCAACAGCTAAATCAAATCACTTTACTTCATTTGAAGATCAGGAAGAAAAACTGTAAGAAGTCTAAAAGATTAATCCAAAGGTTACCTTCACCAAAGTCAAGAGATTAATGAAACAAAAGGTCAAGTAGACGACAAAAAACCCAAAATGAGAAAAGAGCTCCTCCCTGACACTGTTACGTATCTACAATATAATTTGTGCAGAAAATCTTCCCAAAATCAACTTATCTTAAATATGATGTTGCAGTGTTACAAAACAAACAAATGTATCTAGAATGTATATTTTTACACATCTATCTGTCTGGCTCACTAACAACACATGGACAAAAGCACAAATTAATCTTAAAGTTATTCTCTGGCAGTTTACAATATGTATGCCGTGAGAAAAATAAAAACAAAATTACTCTGGATTTAGCCGGGAAAGGAAAACAGTAAAGCTAAGGTAAAGATAAAGAATGGGAGCAGGCCATACATCTCATAAACTTTGTGAATATAATCCACAAATTTGACTCCAAGTTTCCCAGCAGTCAGGAAAACAGAGCTGTAATCACATGCCAACTTAGCATCCACGCAACGAAAACAGATGAGTTCCATGCAAAACATTCTCTGATTCCAAACCTCTAAGACATTATACCTTGAGTTTTCATAAGAAAACACCTTGTATTATACAGATATTAATCCCTTTGACCTTGGGGAAAACCTGAAAGACAGAGTAAAGTAGGTCCTAATTGTTTACTATATGAAAATGTTTAGAAAGGAGATCTTTGGACAGTAATCTTGCCAGAGCAGAAAATAGCAATTTATCAAAAGCTGGTTCTTGATAAATAAAACTCTTTCCTATGGTTCTACTCCTTTCTTATCTATGATTTAATCTCTTAGATAATTCTACACTTCAGGAAACAGATAATTCTACACTTCAGGAAACACAATTAAAATAGAGTTATTGCAGAGTTATTTTTTCACTGGAAAAACAAGCTAGGATTCTGGTTCAAAACCAGTTTCATAATACCAAGTTGGCTCCATGCTCTTACAAAACTCCCTTCTATCTATCTGCCTAACATTCCTTCTAAAAGAACATATCTGAACCAGAGTTTCAAAATTCATTTTTATTTTCCATATTATCTCAGCTCTGCCCTCAGCTCTGGTTCCTGCCTTTCTGTCTGCCTGACCCGGACTGTGCCTAGTTTTCTAGTCTGCTTTTGCTCAGGGTACTTTTTTATGGCTTCCTTTTC